CATAACAGGCAGTTTTGGAAGCATTTTTCTACCATCACTGCTTATATTTCAAATTAAGACACATGCTTTCTAGGGATGCTGCTTGACAAAGCACTGAGTCTGGAATTCACACCTAATCTTTGTAGCCTCCATCCTCATGAGTTTCTTCTTGAGCTGATCAGACATCTTCCCCCCCCCTTGCCCAAAGCAATTTAACTCACAGAGCTGACACAGTCTAACAAGCATTAGCCATCATTCCTCCTTCTTCAGTTAAGTGCTCCGTGTGCCTGAGTGTGCTAGGTTTTGTGGGGTTTTTTGGATTTTTTTTGCAAGTTAGGATAGTGTGCATGTTAAGAAACCATGCTATGCATCTCCGTGACCTGGCTCTGCAGTCACCCTTTGCATGTTGGTCCACTGCTCACTAGACCCAGCTTGACAATGTGCTGCTACAGCACTCACCTTGATCTTGTGATGTTTTCACACAGCCTGATGAAGAAAGGGGCAATACAACCCTCTCAGCAGAGGAGGAAGGGTCTGTGAGCCACGGTCCTGGGATTTTCAGAGGTTTTCAGACATTGCTGCTTGGTGGTGGTGTTTGTGGCGGAACATCCAGAGCGGAAAATACTAAGAAATAACTGAGGTATTGAAGACAACAAGAAGACTAACTTAGAAGAGGAGCTTGCATGCCGAGGCTGTGGTCCATCACAAACCAGACAAGCTCTTCTGAAGCTCAGAATCAACACAGCAATCGGATAGCAACATGGAAAATGCAGCTCCTTTCATCGTAACTGCAGCGAGTTGTTATGCTGCTGTTACACGTACCTACTGCTGGTGTCAGGCACGCTGTAGGCCTGGGGGTTACAGCTGTGTACATCAGCCCACAAGCTCAGGCTAGCGCAGGAACACCGTCTGCAGGAAGCACCATTTTGTGGTGGCTTTGAAAACAAGGTTGCAAATCTGCTTCAGTGTATGAATTATACAGCTTGTAGTGCCTCATCAATGATACAGCCTTATAGGTGCCAAGTTTAACCCTCAGAAGTCAGAAAATATTGAAATTAACATCACCTCTGTGCTGTGCATTACTGACCACTATAATTGCTTGACACTGCAGTAGGGAGCAGACTCCCCACAGCTTGCCGCATTGATGCCTCCTGTCCAAACTACTGTTCCTCCTGTCCTATCCTCATCCCTCCACCAAAGATGACTTCTTTTTTGCAGAAACTTAAAACATAAGTGCCCCGTAGCCAGCTGGTGCAAACAAAGCTGAACAGCCCAGCAGTGTCTCCTGCTCTCGGAGTCTCCCGACCCCAGCAATTGCACACTGCAGACTAGCTGGCTTCTAAATGCACTCGTGGACCATAAGAGTTCCCTGAAGGATTGTGACAACCCAAACCAAATCCAGTGCATGCCACAGTGCATGAGAAATGCTAAGTAGCCAATCTGTCCTCACATCACTAACCGCCTTCTTTCCAACTATACAGTAGCTCCCCACAGGCATTGCTACTTGAGCATCAACCAAGGATGACTTCTTTGACAGCTCCTTCATCTTCTGCCTTGTGTTTGAGTTCTCAGTGTATGTCCGGGGACTCTGGTTCATTCATTCCTGTCTCCTGTTTTCATACACCATAAATCTCTTGCTGGCTCATGCAGATGCAGGCCGTGTAGCCAGCACCTGTCAGACATTAATAACACTGCGTGACATGCCACATTGGTGTACTTTCCTAGGTCATGCATTTCCATCAGCCACTGAGGTCAGCATTGAGTTCCCCTGGGAAGCTGCTCAAGTCAGGACGACAGAACTCAGCCTGGGCCCTGTTGTCACTGGGGAGCAGAGGGGATTAACAGAGTTGGGGAGCTGAAGACCCTGCGTTGTCCAAAATCAGCTAATAAACAGTAAGCAATGAGAGACTAGGAACTGGCTAAAATTTGCAAGACACAGTGGTGATGCCTGTTTTAATGTGAGTGGCAAGAGCTAGCTGGAAAATGTCTCATGCTTGCTGTGTTTCTGAGAAGCTGCAAAAACATCCTAAAAGTCAATGCTGTTGTTAAATGATCAGGCCTCAAGCTTCTCAGAAACGTTACCTTCCAACAAGGCATCTTAGAACAAACTACAGCTTGTCTCCTGCAAGGAACTGCAGAGCTACGTGCTGTTGCCAGACACCTTTCTAATGGACTGCATGGCTGCAGTTATTTAAGCTTTCACCTTGATAGCCTGCACGGCCACTCAGGGCTATGGCAGGGGGTGTGTCAGCATGATGTGTCAGCATTGCAACCGCAGCCAGCACATCTACAGCACTCTCTGCAGCCATTGCATACAGCAGATCTGCTCGAATCTCCCAGGATTTGCAACACAAGTGATTGCTTCAGCAGCATCCTGCTACACTACCATAAACTTTCTCTGCTTTGCCTGCAGCTCCTCTTCGGTTCTGCAAGGGTGTCATTTCGCAGCTGAGCTGAGGCTGTGGGGTGATGCGGTGGGTACACAAAGCCGCTATGCCACCCTGAATTTTGCTTACAGATGCAGTTCTTAGAGCTGCTGTGCAAAGCATTTCCTTTCCAACCACCCTGACAGCTGCTCGCCTGTGATGGTTATGGTCATGTCTTTCCCTCTCACGTCAGAAAAGGGAAGCACTGGTGGTCCCAAAGCCTCTTTTGCCGGCACTGTTCCTACTTTTGCCTGGGAAAGCTTTAACATCCAGAGACCGGCGCTCGGGACATCTGCACCAGAGGCAGAGGCAGACTGTCTGGTGCTCCCATGACTCGCTGGGGGTTCAGAAAGTGGCACTCAAATGCTGTTGCAGGTTGTTGCCAGCCACCACTGTGTCCCCAAAGCAGAGGGGGAAGCTCCCAGGTTGGCTCCCACTCCTCCTGGTTGCCTTATCCCCATGGCCTTGTCTTCCTTCCTCGTGGGGTGCCCATCTCCCCTCCCTCACAAGCCTGTGCCTCGGCTCCCCTCCACACTCCCCCGGCTGTTACACCATTCCCTTCTCATTCCACCGTCGCCAAGGCCACCAAGTGGGACAGGGGTGCCAGGACACAGGGCAGACATGTTGAGGCTGCCCTGCCTGGTGGGTGAGTGACCCCCACGTGGCCCCTACCCACCCTCCCGGGGCCACCTCAGAGCCTGGGGGCCAGGGCTGGAGGGAGGACGGAAGCCCCTGCTGCTGCCACCCCCGGCTCCTGCCCTCCATCTCTCGCAAGACCACCCCACCAGGCCCACCGGCCACCGGAGGCTCTCGGAGGGGGCGCGGGGTGGGGAGTCAGAGCTAGGTCTGCGGAGGGTGCTGGAGGCAGGAGAGGAGGGGGCCCAGCTGAAGGCAAAGGAGGGAAGGGAGGGGATGGAGGGATGTCCCCGTGGAGGGGCACGGGCCCCTGGCGTGGTGGGAGAGGCAGCTCGCAGGGGTGGGTGGTGGAGCCTGCGCCATCACAGGTGCCTCTGGAGGCACCAGGCAAGTGAAGCTGGGGCTTTTGTGGGGGGAAAAAAAACCTGAAAATCCAAAAATTAAAGCACCTCCCCCCCAATCCAAACCAAACCAAACTCACAAAAAACCCCCAACTTTTAATTTTTTTCTTATTCTTATTTTTCTTTTTAATTTTTTCCTTTTTTCTTTTTTCTTCATTCTTTTTTCTTTTTTCTTCATTCTTTTTTCTTTCCTTCTTCTTTTCCTTTTTCTCTTTTTTTTAAAAACAAATTCTCTTTCTCTCTTTTTTTCTTTCTCTTTTTCCTTCTTTTCCACTCTTTTTTCCCCTTTTGCCTCAGGGTTTCTAGTTCTCCCAGCGCCCTGGAAAGCAGGGGGGTTAGAGGGAGACCTCAGGTCCCAGCACCCCGCTCAGCACCAGCAGACAGGAGTGGGCCACCCCACCGGTCGCTCTTTCATTTCCACCCACTGCTTGCCCCCGTTAAGGAGGGTTAAGCACAGCTTGCCTTCTCCCCCAGGGCTGCTGACCTTGGTGACGTCCTCTGCCGCTCCACCCGTACCTCCAGCTCCAGGCAGCCCCCTGTCAGACAAGGAGTACCAGCTCTTCTTTGCCAGCCTGCAGCCCCCCTGGAAGGCGGACGTGTCCTGCCTGCTGCGCCAGACACATGGCTGCCTCAGCCCTGCCATCCTGCAGCTGGACCAGGAGGAAAACCATGGCCGTGTCCCCAAAGGTAGGGGCATCGGCACACATCGTGGGGCAGAGGCGGCATTGCCCCAGCTGGAGCAGCGTCAGCTGTTTCTCTGCCCCGAAATGCCACAGGATTGCAGGAATGGTGGTGGGATGGATCATTTTAAGGTCTCTAGCCCAGAGTTTGGCTTGGAGCAGGACTCTGCCAGCACTAGGGCACCCTGGCTTTGTGCAAGGGAGTTTGGTTTTGTGGGTTCTCTGGGCACTCCTTCAAGTGCAGCACCACTTTCCTGGAGAAAAAAAGCTTCTCCTAATGGCCATTCCCAACCTCCCAAGCAGGAATTTGCAGGTTTTTCCCTCTTGTGTTGTCTGGCACCACCAAGAAGAGTTTGACATTGTCATCTTGTAGCTTTCCTTCAGGTCCTTGTGGGCTGCTGTTAACTCACCTCCCCATCTCCTCTTCACGCAGCTGAACAAGCATAGCTGCCCCAGCCTCTCTTCACGGGTCACGGACTGAAAGACATGGACACTTTGGTGGCCCTCTGCTGAGCTTTTCAGTTTCTCCACATCTCCATTGGTGGGGTGGCAGGGGAAAAAAACTGGCCACAGTTTTCTGAACTTCACTGAACAGTTCATCTTACAACTTCACTGGCTCCTTCCAGCTTGATCTGGGGTTTAATGCAGAAGCTTGGCTCATGGGCTCTCATGGGCCTTTAAGAAAGCTTGAGCTGATAAGCTGCTTTTTTAAGTGTTTAACATTTCAGGAGCCAAGAAACATCCCAGTTCAGAAAGTGCCATAGCAACAGCACCCTTTAAATCTCTGCAGTCGTACTTTCCCTGCACCCCTGCATCAGAGAATTTAAGTGGCATAATTATATCTGTGCAGCTGAAAAACTTGGGACTACTTCTGTTGTATTTTTCTTCAGAGGGAAAAAAAATAGGACCAATTTTCTCATAAAAAAATATGTCTTTATATTTAGCTATGAACGTCAATGAACTGAATGATCAGCCAACTGTGCTTATTTGGACTGCAGCTTGAGGGCAACTATTTCTTGCTTGTTTCTGCAGCTGTGTCAGAGGAATGGGTCCCACCACGCATCACCAGACCCACAGATGGCTCCTGGGCTCCTCACTCGCTTGCGGGCACCAGCAATCCACGATGCCATGGCACTAGGTGCACCCGGGGGCTGTCCCTGGTTTCTCTCCCAGTAATGCCCAGCACCCTGGCACTGCTCTTTGGCATATCCAGCCATGCTCACACTGCTGCTGCCTTCAGAAGCTCAGCTGCCAAGAGCAGGAGCATGTGGGAACTCCAGAAGATCAGACAATTTTGCAGGATGCCCTCTTTGCCTTCTTTTCCTCTATCCCTCATCCCAACAGACTCATCTGGCAGACTTTATACCCCTCCATGTTCCCTTTCTTCCAGTTTTGGGGCTATTTTTTGCATGTGTTGCAGCCAGGCTGAGAGGTCAAGCAGACATGGCAGAGCATGTGTCCTCATGTGTTTTGCCTCTACTGTCCTCACAGATAAATGGCAATGTTGCCTACATCCAGATATTCATGAGCATTAATTGTGCCTCCTCAGGTGTGGTGCTAAGAAAGCAGTTACCTTGTGTTTTAAACAAGGGAAGCCTACATGTAACCTTTCAACCCTCTTTGTTGTGGAAGATGAGAGTCAGGAGGATGTTTCCTGATGAGCGTATGCAAATATCTTGGCTGGCTCTATCTTTTAGTGATGATGCAATGATTAATTAATTGCCCTCCCCATGCTGGGAGCTCCTGCAGGTGGACTTGGCCACAAAGCCCAAGGGGGTGGCTTCCTGACACCTAGCAGAAGCTGTAGCTGTTTGCAGCAAACACATGGGCAGGAGGAACAGAGGAAAGAGGCAGAAGATCATATTGATTAAACTAAGAAGCTGGTGCTAGGAAGGGCTCCCCTTGGCAGGAAGGTCAGAGGATTCAAAAAGACAGACAAGTATTCCCACAGAGGAGATGAGCTGAGAATAAAGAGGAGATGGAATCAGTGCTAAAGGAGGCAAGCTGCTCATCAGGCCATGTCATCAGTGGAAGAGCTGAGCCATGTTGAAAATCAAGAGATCAGCAAAGAGACGCCATGGGAAACTTTATCTATGTCAAGTTTTTTTTTTTACTTCCTAGGTGTTGGAATGAAAATGTACTTTTCTTCTCCCCTCACCCTAAATTGGAAATTTTCTGTATCATCAGAGGAACAGTTTGTGACAGGACACAAGCTGTAATACACCAAGCCTGGTCTGGTATGCGCTGCTGGTGATGCAGTCCTGGGCCAAGGAGAGCCAGGCTAACACTGGGGTTAGCAAATGGTTGGGCTTCCTCCCCTGCCCAATGGCAGGAATACATCTTTGCAAGTAGTGGCTGTGTGGTGGAGTAAAACACTGCAGGTCCCAGTCCATTGCACTGGCTGAGTCTGTGTCCGCCATGTCCTGGAGGGATTTCACAGGGCGTCACCAAAGGACAGGGCGGGGGTCCGGCGTGTTCCCTACAAGTTGGGCATTATTCTGGGCTGGGATCCTGGTGCATACCTGAAATTCTACTTTTGCCGATGAATCCATATGCTCAGCACAAAAGAAGAAGTGTGTACAGTGTAAAAGATGGTGTACGAGCAACTTACAGGAGAGCAGTGCAATTCCACTGCTAACTTCCTCTGTCTCAGTCAGTGCTCGACCTGTTCAGTGTGTGCAAAGGGCTGGTCATGCACCCATGGAGCAGAGAGACCACAAGATTACCCCTCTTCCCAAATCTCCCAGGGTTTTCGGCTCTCCTGCATGACCTCGGCTATTCTGCAATCACTGCAGGAAGAGTTGCAGATTTTGAACCAGTAGTGTTGGCAGTGCTGGACAAGACTATGGTGCATGCACGTATGTACAGGCACAGGCTTTGCCAGCAGCATCTTGGCCCTATGGACTTTCCTCCATCCCCTGCATGGCTGGAATCACTGTTGAACTATTTTGCCCTGAAGAGGTTGTCTCCTCTGGTGTTCCCAGGCCCGGTTTGGTCATCTTCTTAACCCATCACATCACTACTTGCCTTTTATTTTTTAAACCCTTCAAGGATTAATAACAAGAGTCCTTATCACATCCTGGAAACAGAAGTTTTGGGTCTCTGTAAAAGGGAACATAAGCATGTGAAAAAGGGCAGAAGGATGAACTGAAACCCTGGGTGGTTTGGAGGGAAAGTGCATGTGGCACCTGGGATAGGAAGCTGTAAGAGCACAAGGCTGTGATCTCAACTCAGCTTTGACTTTCCCTTCAACCACAAGCCGCTCTGAGAACAGCCATCCCAGAGGTCCCTGTCTCTTGTTGTGTCCAGGTCAGGGGGGCAGATGCCTAAACCTGTGGCATGCCCCCATCCCACATGTTTTACTCACCCCTCTCCAGGGCCAGTCTGCTCTGACTTCCCAGAGGCACCGTGGTTTCAGACCTTCTGCCAGTTCACCCAGTACCGCTGCTTCAAACGCCAGTTCTACACCAAGGTGAGGAGCAGGATTTGGGATGGGGCAGGAGGGAGTATCTCTGGGAGATGGAAGGGGTGAAGAGGAAGGGAAGATAACACAATGGGACCTGTGTTTCTCCCTCTCTCCTCCACTCAGCGAATCCCATGTCTGAGTTTGTCTCCTCCAAAAAACCTTCTCCCGATGGAGCGACTCCATGCTGTGGGCTCCTGGGCAAGGGGTGAAAGCTCCCCTACAGAAGAAGGTACGGCTGCACCAAGCTGTGCTGGGCACCCTTGCGTGCCTGCTGATCTCCTGTAACTACTCTTCCCACACACCCCCCCAGAGCTTTCTGGCTGGCTTCAGAAGGTGCCCTCAGCCCCCGTGTGCCTCTCTCTCCCCAGCTCCAGGGCAGGTTTCTCTCTCGTCCACTGATGCCCTGCTGCGCACCAACGTGGACGCCCTCCTGAAGTACTCCTACACACTGTCGAGTCAGGAACCGCTGCCGAAGAAGCTCCCCCTGGCCAAGCCAGGGGTGCCGAGACCCCCACAGGACAGCGAGCTGCCTGTGTTCCCACCAATTCTGCCAGTCCCGGCTGCCCCTACCCCCTTGCCTCCCAGGCTGGGATCTCCTGCCGAGGCACAGCAAGCCTGGGAGCAACGCCTGCAGAACAGCGTCTGGCAGCTGATCCACTTGGCCCTCTCCTTGGAGATGTCCCTGGGCATCAAGGGCTCTTCTCCAGACCTCAGCACCAAGTCAGACCCAGGGAGCACATCAGGCAGTGCCAAGGAGGGGGTGCAGGAAGCAGACCCCCATGGCAGGTGAGGGAAAGACCCATCTCCCCACCAGGCAGGGTACTGCACACCACCCATGCAGGGCTGTCCTCGTGTGCAGGCTAGCAGCCCCACCGCATGCATTCCCCTGCCCTGACCAGCTGGCAAGCTTTCAAGAGCAAGCCTTCCCATCCAGAGCAGGAGTGTCCCAGGGAGCCCCTCAGAATACCCCTGCTCCAGCACAGAGTGAGCAGGGAGAGGGTGACCCAACGCTGCTAGCACCTGACAATGTTACTGTCCTTGCGTCCTGAGCAAAGTGCATTTAGGCTGGGCCTTAAGTGCAAGCAGGGCTTTATCCCATGCATGTGTATCTCCACACTGTGATCATCTGCAGTGTGCAATCACCTCTGCACTCATCCTCCTCCCAGCTCAGGTCTCCCGGGAGTCTGGATGATAGGCAGAAATAGCTTACTTGCTAACAGGGGTCTTTGGACACCAGAGTAAACATGTGTCTCGCTGTGCTCCTTGCCTCTCTGAGTGCCATGTGAAGCAGATGTTTCTTAAAAGTCTGAACTGAGGAGAACTCCAAGGGGTGCCCCATCTGCACCCAGGCAGAGCAAAAGCAACCCTGGGCTAGGAAACAGAGCCGGAAGCACAGAGCCTTGCTCTGCCCCTCTCTGCACTCTGGATCTGTGCATTGCTCTTCCTAGGGGGTTTCTGGTTCACTGTTCTGGCTTTGAAAGCAGCTGCATGCCAGTTCTGCACAGGGTCCTGTGACAGTCCAGCTTGCTGCAATCCTTTTACATGCCCTTCTTAGTTCCTCTGGCCTAAGGATGCCTTAGGAGCTTGTCTAGCATCCTGAGCTCTTCTCAGCTGATCTGCCAGGATCCATTCACCTCTGTGCTCAAGCAGCTGGGACTGGGACAGAAAAGACCTGCAAAAGAATTGTATGTTTTCACGTAAATTTACTTTTTGATTCCTTAGTACTTTGTGGCTGAGGCCCACTTTCTTTGACTGAGATGCAAAGATTATTTTGCCTGCCAGGAAAAAAAAAAGCTGTCTAGATGTGGTTTTCATGGAGAAGTCGTTTTGGTTTCACCCTGTTGCTGGCCGTGATGTTCCTCTAAGCGCACAGGCTTTTGTGCATGAGTGCACATCTGTGGTTTCTATTAAAAACACTACACAGAACTACAGCTGAGCCAGAGATCCCACTTCTGTATGTAAAAATGTATTGCATCATGTTGTTAAAGCTGTACATGTTCTCTTGCAAGGCTGTAACTTATGTCATCCTCTTTCCTAATATTGTAGGAGGCTTTTACTGCCTGGCAAATTTTTCCTGGTGTTATGTACTCTGAGACAAAATTATGTTTCATTGAGGATATGTTCATTTTCCCTGCCTCTGAAGTTGAGCTTTGCTCTGATTTAGTTATATTGGGATTATTGAGGGACTGCTGTGATTGCAGATGACACTCACTATTCTGCTGCAGAGTTTCTCAAAGACACTAATGCTGACTGTGTGTCTGTAACCTGGCAGCCGAGCCCCATCAATCATGCTAAGCAAAGCTTAAACTCAAGGGAGGATAAAAAGGCAAGATAGACCGCGCCTGTCAGCTTTGCTGCTCGCCACATCCCGCCTCCTCTCAAAAGGACTTCAAAGCATGACCTAAAAAAGGGGCAAAATGCTTTGAGGCATTTCCATTCCAGTGCGAGGAGCAGTGCTGGGTGGACTGGTCGGTGCGTACAGGTCTGGTTTAACACAAGGTGTGCACGGTTGTGATGGGCGCTGAACCCAGGGCTGTGTGTCTTCCCTAGGGTCTTAATCTGCAGAGGGACATCCAGGCCTTCTCACTCACCCCTGCTTGTGGCAGCTGCTCTGGTAGCCCTACCAGCTTTAATGGTACCTGGTGAAGCTGGCTGTGCCCTTTAGAGAGAGACACGGTGAAGAATTTGCAGCATGCTTTTGTGGTCTCTCTGCTAGCAGTGAATCATCATGGGGGGGGTGTGTGACAATGTTTCTTATTGCACTTATTTTCAACTTTTAGTCCTTATTGTGCTTTCTGCCCCACAGCTAAAGTGCTATTTATTTCCCAGTATTTCCTCTCCTCAAAGTTACCTATATACCATGATTCAGTCTTGCAATAAGCTAAAAAGAGCTGTGTAGCTCTTACATTATAAAGCCTGTGCAACTCTCCTTTTCTGTGGCAATTTTCAGTATCCCTTTAAAACATCCACACACTCCACCTCTGCATGCACCATTCAGCGATGGGTTTCAGCAGTTGAGAGTGCAGAAGGAGGTCAATCTCCCTTCCCTTCCTTTCCTTTCCCTTCCCTTCCCTTCCCTGCTCTTCTGTTTGCACATAAGAATTGCATTTGCCCTTTTTCCCAGGGTTTGACGCTGTTGCGTTGTTTGTCTGCTATGACCCCTACACCCCTTTCAGCATCACGGCTGTCCCGGATACAGACCCCATCCTGATGGTATTTGCACATGGATGCTCATGGTTCACGTGAGCCCAGCTTCCCCAGCAATGCTGAGCTGAGCCCTCCCGGTGGCCGCACCCTCCTCCTCCTGCTTTACTCCTCCAGACAGTCCTTGTGGTACTTACATACTTCATCCCTGGCAGCTTTAATTTTAAGCCCAGACCCTTCATTAAAAATGTCGTCCCCAGAAAAACACTCTCTTTGGATTATCATCACCCATTAGCAATTACATTTTCTTTTTTACCTTGGGTCTGATGGTGCGGGATGGGACCCGTTCCCCTGACATTTCTCAGAAGCTTTCGGGAACTAGCTGTCACTTGGGGATGGTGCAGATGGATCTCTTTTGGCTGTTCAGTAGGGCCAGGGCCCAATTTAGTGCCTCCATATTGCTACTGTGCATGGCTAGCTGTGAAAGAGGAGTTATGACAAGGCAGGTGGTCTTCTCTCCACCAGGCTACAAGAAGTTCAAATGCTCCCAGGCTTTTGGGACTCTCAAAGCATGGGTGTCTCAGTATCCCAGAGGGGGCAGAGCTAAAATCTTCTGCAATATACTGCAAGTCAGCAGGGGAGATGTATTTTCAAAATACAGTTTTCCCCATGCTTTGTGCCCCCGACCCTTGGGCAGGTGTTACATTCCTGTTGTCCCAACCCTGCACTGGGTTACCAGCTGGGTTTGATCCGTCAGGTACCTAGCCAGCCTGCCTGCCTTCTTGGCATGCAGGCCAAGGTCTCTTTTTCTTTCTGAAGCTGTTAAGAATGTCTTTTTGCTTAGTCTTTTAGTTTCCTGCAGCAACCCACCTAAATCAGAAGTTACAAAGTGCTGGAGAGCTGCTGTTTGCTCCTTACCTTCTTTTCGGCTTGCCTCAGGTATTCACTCCACCTCACACAGCCAGCCAATATCGGGGAGGGTCAGCAGCTGAAAGGTAATGGCCCCAATCCTTGTTATGTTGTTAACCAGCACTCGTCAGAGATACCACTGAAGTAGGCTCTATGTGTGTCACTCCATGTCTTGAGATGCTAAAGCAAGATAGGCTTTTATCCAAAGTTTTCTTCTTTTGCCTTTGAGCAATTACTGATCTTGGCCCACAGATTCTTCTTAATCATATTTTTTCACATTCCCTTTGAAATGTTGACTCCCAGTACCTGTTAGGCTTTTTCCCGGGCAGCAGTTGGGACATTAACATGCAAAGGTACAAAGCTTTAGACAGACCTATCAGTTTCCCTGATCCACAGATAATCTGCACATCCACAAACAGCTCAGCACCACATCAACAAGTGCAGGAGACCGGCAGCAGTGCTGTCCCCAGTCCGTACCATTTGTCCGTAATGCCTCTGTGATGGGACACAGAGCCCCAGCGCTGCCATAAGGCAGCAGCAGTGGGAGAGTGGCTGGATACGCCAAAAAGCAGTGCCAGGGCGCTGGGGATCGCCAGGAAAGGAACCAGGGACAGCCCTCGGGTGCACCTAGCACCATGACATCATGGATTGCTGGTGCCCGCAAGCGAGTGAGGAGCCCAGGACCCATTCGTGGGTCTGGTGATGCGTGGTGGGACCCATTCCTCTGACACCTCTCAGCTGCTTTGAGGAACTGGCTGTCACTTGGGGATGATGTAGATGTATCTCACTCAGAGGTGGGAAACCAACTCATAAATTTTCAGTCGTGAGGCCAGAAAGCCTCACTGTAGAGAAGGAGATCAGAGATAGAGGAGGAAATGGATGTGACAGAGATCGCAACAGAATTTCTTGGTAACCTCAGGCTGATGACACAACTTAGTTTCCGGAGGGGGGTGAGCGGATGTTATGGACACAATTCATGTGCCTCTGCATGCATGGCCACCAGCAAAGTGTCGGTAGGTGGTGCGTAGGGATGCAAGGCTTTCTGATCTGTCTGAGCCAGTCATATCGAATACGGCCTATAAATCTAAAGTTTGCTGTGCAGCAAAGGCTCCTACCCACATCTGACTTTGCATCTGTTCTGAACAAGTAGGTCATCGACACTCAGCAGATGTTTTATCACTACTTATGAGCTACTTATGGAAGCACTCTTTTTAGACAAGGCTGGAGACGAGTTCCCTTTTACTGCCCCTTTTGCCTGTAATCCTCTATTTGCATCTTGTTCGGGCTGCACTTGTTGGAGCAGTACGTGTGTTGGAGAAAGCAATGTTAAACCCATTTATTAGCAGTCGTTTTTCTAAGGCTCAGGTTGCTGTTTATGTGCTATTTTTAAAAAAATACAGCAAGCTGGACAGTTTTCTTCTTTTTTTCTACCACAGTGATGAAAACACCAGAGCTATTCATATCATTTTTAATGACACTTAATGTGCCTCTCACTTCACTGGCTTGATCATCCTGGTGTGATGAAGCAGCAATCAAATCACAACTTGCCACTGGAATAACAAGCAAGTAGTGGAACAATAGCCAATAATGACATATTTGTGGATAATTCTTTCACATAAGTCTGGAGAATAATATCAGGGTCATTAATTGAAATTTGTGAGCCCCATCAAGATGACCAAGCCAGTTTACGAAATCTTGAAGGCAAAGATCCAACTGCACCTAAGCAGTCAAGCATCTGAGTGGTGGCTGGGTCTCCCTTCAGCTGTCACAGATTTATCAGCAAAGTAGACCAAACACTTGCTCTCCTGAACTACAACTGCTTAAGAGAAAAATTGTCTGTGTTAGGTAATCCCCACACAATGAGCAATCCTTTATGGAAGAGAAATGCTAGGTGTTCCTTGGGGGCTGTCACTGGTTCTTCTCTCAGCAATGTCCAGCTCTCAGTGACAGAAAAATGCTGAGAGGGTTGAATTGAACAACCTCAGACAAGATTTTCAAGTGGGATGAGCACAGACTTTTTGCGCTAAATTTAAAATTTCCTGTTCTTCTTGATATCCTAAATGGTCTGAACCTTTACAGAGGAAACAACAAAAAAAAAAAAAAAAAAAAGATCATGTGGAACCATGGGATGGAGGAGTGGACATGAAGGGTCTTAGAGGTTCTGGAAGTGCTTTCTGCAGGACAGGTGGCCTTTGTTTCTCTTTTTTACTGGCACACTTTAATTCTTTCCAGCTTTGCATGAAAGAGTTGATATCTGTCACTGCTGTCCTCAGTTTGCATTCTTTTGTCATCTCTGACCTCAGACCTTCCCTCCATAAACCTCTGACCAGGCTGGTCACAGTGTGGTGCATTGCAGAAAGAGATGCACAAGCTTGCGATACATAGATTTCCAGGTTTTCAGCTGTCCTCGGGTTTTCAGTGGATGTGGTTGATATGCTGTGGGTCAGCACCGCAGTAATTTGTTGCCATGTCTGTATCCGCAGAATGTAATTTGCAGCCTGTCCACAGTTCAGTACAGGAGAGTGTGTTGAAGGAACATCTTTGTTTGCCTCGATGCAGGCTAGAGCAACATCTTCTGCACTGTGATAAACCAAGTTTGACTGTAATATTTTTAAAAGAAAAATCTAGCACTCATTATATTTTCTGTGATTAAGATTTTCCAGGTTCTCTTGTACGCTTGGACTTGATGATCTTAGGGGTCTTTTCCAACCTTAATGATTCTATGATTCTGTCATACTATCTAAGTAAGAGAGATGCCTTCACCGATCCTGACATGCTCATTTGCTGTTGGTTAGTGTGAACTGTTTGGGTACAGGATCACTTGTTTCTGACCCACTGCAAGTGCAGAGAACTTGCCACAAACTCCTTCATCCGTAGACTATGGCCAGGCCTGGGGATCTATTAAGAAGGTGCACAAAACTTCGTTAGTAGCCCTAATGCTTCACCCACGTTCTCCTACGTCAGTGCATACCCAAACCCAGTGTAAATACCAAGCATCCGCATGTTCCTGTGCATATGGTGCATGCCTCTCACATGTCCATGGATCTGTGAACACCAGTCACTCCTTACAGCTTGATTTCTTCACACACCACGTAATCGCAAGAGCTTAATGGCAGGGAGATTGATCTCTTTTAGCCTTCAAGCCTGGCAATTGCTCTGATCACTCACTCTAGCCTTCCTGCTCAGCACAGGACGTGGAGCCATGCCTTGTGAGCCCTGAAGGAAAACAGTAGTGTGTGGCTAAGCTACAGACCCTTCTCCTAAGAGGAATTTGGGATATCTTTTTGAAGCCTCCAAGCTGTGGGGAAACATCCCCATTAGCTGCTCCCGTGCTAAATACCCTTTGTGTCAGGAGCATGCAGCTCATTTCTGATTTGAATGGATCTCACCCCAAATTCCAGTCACCAAAAGTCATTACGCTTCCATCTGCTGATGAAGAGAACCTTCCAGCTGATCCCCATCTTGATAAAAGTACAGATTGACTGAGTGACCACCCGCTAAAGTCTTTGCGCAGCTAAGTAAAGCTTCTTCAATTTCTTGCTCCTGGTGAAAGTTTTCCAGGCCTTAGGAAATTTCATCTTCATGACCTTCTTCCAGGTTCTCCACCTCATTTTTTATTTTTTAAGGCTAATCTGAAGGCTTCCAAGAAGTTTCAGCTATTCTTAGGAAAATTTCATACCGATTGACCCATGGATGTTATGAGCATTTTAACATAAACAGTTACTGCTCTTATCTTTTCTTACTTTCTGCCAGTTCAAAGTTTGTTTATTTATCATTGATTTTGTTTCCAGACACAGAAGACAAATATTTAATAAGCATTTTTACCTCTTCTGCATCATTGCTGATAATTCACACTATCCCTGTCTAATAATAGTTCTGTACCATGTCTACAATTTCTACTGTTCCTAAGAGATGCAAAATCATAGAATCGTAGAATCATAGAATGGTTTGAGTTGGAAGGAATCTTAAAGATCGTCTAGTTCCAACCCCCCTGCCATGGGCAGGGACACCCTCCACTAGACCAGGTTGCCCAAAGCCTCATCCAATCTGGTCTTGAACACTTCCAGGGATCCAGGGGCCTCCACAACCTCTCTGGGCAACTTGTTCTAGTGTCTCACCACTCTAACAGTAAATAATTTCTTCCTAACATCTAACCTAAATCTACCCTCTTTTGGTTTAAACCCATTATGCCTTGTCCTGTCACTACGCTCCCTGATAAACTTGTTATATAGAAATATTCTTGTCATCCTTAACCTACTGTCCTTAAATTTTCTACCTTTAGTTTCCCATGTCAGTTTGGATGAACAGTTAATTCATTTTTACCAATTTTTTCCCCTTTCCATCAAATACATTGCCTCAAGCAGGAGGGAGGCTTAATAATTTATATACTCCACACCCAAATGGAGCTGCCCCATGGTCAACACTCAGCAGACCTCTAACAAACATCTCCTTGCTGTGCACTCGGATGGACAAAACTAGGCAGCAGCTGCTGAGGGCCCCTGGGAAAGTTCCTCGAGCTGCGCTGCTTGTCCAGTCCCTCTCCTGTGCTCCCGAAAAAAAACCCCCCCCACCCCATAGCCTCCGTGTCACACAGGCACATACAGACTCTGCAGGCACCCCCGTTCCTCTATGCAGTTTGGCCAAGTGTCCCAGGTTTCTTTGGGAAGTTTTTTTTGCTGTGCTTCAGGGTTGTTTTCCCCCTCTTTCAATTTGTAACTAAAGGTTTATCTCTTCAACTTGTGACAAGAGATGAGACTTGATTTTTTTCCATCCCTTTCTGTGTCAGCCTTTTAGCCCTGAAGAAGGATGAGGCAGTGATGATCCTGTGCTTTGCAATGCTGGAGGGAAACTGTCTCTCGTCAGTGGTCACACAGGCCTGGAAGGAGATGGAAGAAAGAGTCCTTGGGTTCGGAGATTTGGTAAAGATACCGATGTCCATCTTTGACCCCCCACTGTGTGCAGGGCTCCCTGCAGTGCTGACCACAATGCTCCGGCGGCCAGAGCACGTCAGCACTGTCCTTTCAGGTGCCACCTCCTGGGAGAAGCTGACCTGGGTAACCAGGGAGGCAAACTCCAAGCTGGGGATATGGGAGCTTCTCAGTCTCCTTTTCCCCCCTGACTTCCCTGCTGCATCCCCCCCTAGGTGTGTGACAGCCTCGGGCGGCGGCACATGGACCTGTGTCCTGACTGTGCTTTCTGCTCGCTAAAGAGGGAGCAGTGTCAGAACATCAAAAACCTGAAACGTGTTCACTGTGAGACAGGCAGCTTCAGCACCTACATCAACCCTCAGATCTCAGCCCAGCACCAGGCTGCAGGCAACAAGGTACCAAGCGTGCTGCATCTCCTGCCAGCCTCTGAGGAGGAGCCTGGACTGGGTGGTGGGGAAGGGGAGGAAGAAGCACGGCTCTCTTTATCCCACTTCTTTGCAGACCAGCTCCTTGGAGTACTATGGCATGAAGTTTTTCAGAGGGCTGAGGGCAGAGTACTGGTGCAGCCGGATAGCCACCCACGGCTGTGAGGACCCTCGTGTGGCCCTCTGGCTGAAGGCAGAGTACACTGCCTTCCAAGACAGAGATGACCCGAGCCAGGTGAGTGCCCAGTGGGTGCTGCCATCCCTCCTTCTCCTCTTCTTTCTCTGGCCTTCATTCCCATCTCCCCAGATCTGTGACTCGGGAGGAGTTCGGCACCCCAGCTACTGCGCATTCAAGAGCCACCAGTGTTTGCAGCAGAGCCTCTACAACCAGAAGGTGAGAAACAGCCTGCATTGCCCTTTACACAGCCTTCTCCTCCATGGCTGGTCCCTCCACAGCCAGCCCCAAGTCCCTGCAGGACTCACTGGCCTCCTGCTTTTCCCTCCAGTAGGACACGCTTGGGTGTGTTTGGGGTGACAAATAGTGACTGAAGTGCAGCTGACATGTAATTCAGGTGGTGGGTTTTGCACAGACGCTGTAAGAGATGGCAGCAGAGACAGCTGCTAATGTTGAGACAGAGGAGCTGTGGGGAGCCTCCTACCTGTCAGGGTACCACTGTATATCCCTGCAGGAGACAGTCCCCCCCATCTACTGTGTGCTTCCTAGGTGGCAACAAAAACCAGAAACACCAGAGCAGGACAGAGGACTAGCCTCTATCTTAGGAAACACACAGTTCAGCTATCATCCTCTGCCTCCTGCTTCCCAGCTGGTTCTCCCCTCTCCCCTCTGGTGCCCTCATCATCCCAGCCTCCAGAGCTGCTGGGTGATGCTGTCCGTCATGGAGGTCTCCTTTCCCCTGGGGAAGGATGGAGAGTGGTACCAGTCCTATGAACTCAGGCTCTCCTTGCAGGTGTCTCGCCACGACTGCCACAAAAATGAGACCTACCGGGTGCTGAGCGAGAAGGAGGGAGAGGAGGAAGTGTTGCTGTGGCACCAGAGATTCCTCAGCCTCACCACAGGGTGATGCAGGGTAGCAGGGGGATGCATGGGAAGCGAAGGCCTCCAGAGCAGGCTCTCTGGGGCTGTGGTGAGGCAGAGAGTCTGGATAGACCTGGACAGTTCCTCCCAGACCCCTTGCTGGCCAGCCAGCTCATTATGGACAGATTTCCCCCTGTGAGCACCTGCTCTGCTCCAGCGCACCAGGAGGGGAGCCTCACTCAACAGCGTTTCACTGTGGCACCTGCTGGAACTCCCTGTGAAAACATTTTCTCCAGCCAGAGGAGCAGCTGAGCATCAGAGAAAGCATCAGCCCTGGGAACTTGGATTTAGAGCCACTGGCGCAAGTGTCCTTGTCTGAAATCCCCAGCCATCTCTTGCCTCCCTCTCCCTGCAGGCTTATACCAGTCAGTAGCTGCCCCAAGGATGAGTCTTATTGTATAAAGAGCCCATTGTATAAAGAGCCTATTCACCCTACAAACCTAATTTGCTCCCTTCTGTCTGATGCGACCGCTCTGATACACCCCTCAGTGACCCCTCTCATGTTCAAGGTGGGTCCCCATGCCCCCCTGCTCTGCACCCTGGTGTTTCTCGCTCACTGCAGCCCATGTGTCCACTGAGCACAAGGACTGCAGTGTGGCCTTGTCGCCTCCCAGACCATGGGAGGGAGCAGAGCCAGGTACCCTCCAGGTCCCAAACGCAGCATGCGAGGAAGGAGCTGACATATGCACTTTGCTTTCCATTGCAACTGGTTTATTTCTAAAGTTTAAGGGTTTATTGGGCCTTTGTTCTCCAACCCTCCATCTGGCAAAATAATTCAAACCACAAGCCCAATGAGGCTGGCGAGAGGGTGCCAGGCAGGGAGCACCCCCAGCACCAGGCGCTGATGGCACCCCCGGCACCAGAGGCTGCTCGCCAGCAGGGCAGCGAAACCCCACGTCTCCACTCCCTCTCAGGCTGTGTATCACCCCACACCTTCCCCTGCTTCCCCATGTCTCTCCCCGGGCTGTCCTCTCCCCAGCTACCTTGCAGTCCCCGGGAGCCTCCCACCACCCCAGCACGCTCACCCCTCAGCGGCAGCTGTGCACCTCCACCAGGTGCCGGCACTGCTTGCACTTGACGGAGCAGCACCAGCGAAACTTGCAGCTGCACCGCTCCACCACTTCTGCCTGAGCCGTGTGGAAGCCCCTGCCACAGCACAGGAGCTCGCAGCCATCCATGGCTGGGGATGTCCGGTTGCACTGGCGGCCAGAGGTGCCAAAGACCCCATGCCGGGGGTCCCAGTCACAGAAGTCTGGGCTGGCCAGCAGGTAGACCAAGTCATGAGCTGTGTAGGGCTTGAAGCGAGAGCTCTTGGGCACCAGGAGCTTGCGGGAACCCACCCACTTGGGGTGAACCTCCGTTGCCCCCTCGAACTTTTCCTTGAGGACATTGCCCACCTTGCGGAAGGGAGGCATGACCTTCCAGCATGTACGTACCTCGCAGGAACCTGACACACCATGGCATTTGCACTCCACCTTCATGTGGGCCAGGAGAGCCTGGGGAGCAGGAGGCAGCTACCAGCCAGACCCAGGACACCCTGTTCCTCCCCCACACCTCCCATGGGGCTGGAGGGCAGGATCAGCAGAGGGGAGGGGAGGGGAGGGGAAGGGAAGGGAATAAAAAAGTCTTTTCAAACCAGGATAATATGAAATGGAAGGGGATCTGCTCTGTGGGAAACAGGCTGGCTTGGGTCTATAAGAGAAATCCCTGAGGCAGGAGAAGAGATGGGAACCTGCTCTGACCCATGGGGCTGTGGGGAGGGGAACAGATCTATCCAGAGTCAGAGGATGTTCAAGGGACCAGATCTGACAGCAGCCTCATGAGAGGATGGTGACTTTGCTCAGGAGAGACTGGAGGGGCAGGGAAACCCTTCAGAGCAGAGCGGGGAAGCTTATTTCCTTTGCAGAAAAGGCCAGGGGAGGTAAATCACGGCTGGAGTCTGTGAGGAAAAGGACTTAGCACAGAGGTGGGCCAGGGAGGCTGGGACACCCCTCTGTGCAGGTGAGGAGCCAGCTTGGTATGAGCAGCGCAGTGCTGGGCTGAGGAGAGGCAGCAGGACGCAGACCTGTTCTGGGAACCCATGGTTGCCCCGAACTGCTCCTTGGGGTAAGGGGGCTGGACCGAGCTCTACCGAGCCAGGGAGAAGCCCCTCAAGCCAGGCTTGCATCCCAGCCCTTGTTCCTGCCCTTACCTTCCTTCCAGCCCCGTTGTTGTGCAGATTCATGAGCACTCGGCTGGAGGAGACACCGCGGCTCCTCTCAGGGTTGTCTACGAAGGCTTGAGAAAAGGCAATCCCGTAAGACAGGTTATCAGAGCAGCCCGACCATTGGAAACCTGCAGAGGGAAATTGGCCATGAGATGAAGAGGGAGAAACCCTGAGAGGAGCTCCCAAAGGGCTGAGGGACATGGAGAATGGAGATGTCTCCTCCCCTGGTGAGGATCTGCCCCATGGATCTTCTCCTCTGCCACCCCCTCCCTGCCACTGGCCTCCTCCTTCACCTTCGGGGCTGACTCCTCGGATCTTGCGGTCACAGCCACACTTCTCCAGCTCCCCACGGCTGCAGGCACGAGTCACAGCAAAGGCAACACCGGCAGCAGAGATGGCGTGGATGAAAGCAGACTCCCGCGTGCCTACAGCAGGGCGAGAAATGGCACCAGTCTGCCAAGGGGGAAGGCACTGACAGGACATGGCGGGGGCGGGGGGGGGAAGAGCCTGTGACTGCATGCAGGAAGGATGTATTCAGACAGAAACTGCTCGGGAGAAATTGCTACCAGAATGCTGGTAGCAATGCAATTCCCATGGCATGGAGCCAGCAAGGGAAGTGGCTCTGTGGGGTCCTTCTGGCTCAGTGGCCTCAACTTTGGCACCAAGCTGTCCCATTGAGGGAGAGAAGTCAGCAGCCCTCATGGGAAGTGAAAGGGGAGCTGTGGTGGGGGACATCAGGGGCTGAGCCTCCCATGCAGAGGGGTTTGTCAGGGAGGACCCTGCCACCTTGTCGCTAGGAGCCAGAAAAACCCTGTCCAAAGCTCCCTGAATGGCTCCTTCCATGCAAACACATGTAAAATCTGTTCCATGCTGTTTTGGAGGCATAGGCAGATCCTTTTTCCCAGGCCTGCAACACAAAGGAACTGCAGCTTCAGAGAAGAAGGTTTGATTTGAGCTGCTACTCCAAAGGGCTGGGCTGGTGAAGAAGGTCTATCAGTCTACAGAGCTTGTACCCAGAATGGTCCAGATGGGACCAAAAAGACAAGCCTGGCCAAATGCGGAAGAAGTTTAGCCAGAATATTAATATTGTAGCAGCACATGCATTTGTTTCAGTATGCTCTGTGTTGACAGCTCTGTCAGCATGCGGAGGAAGGCAGTGGCCACTCTTGGGCTGGTTCCAGTGTGGCACTTGAACACTAGCCCAGGAAAGGCTGATGTGTCAAGGGGAGCCTGTGGGCATACTGAAGAGACTTCATGCCAACTCTGCCTGCACTGTCTCCCCCTCACTGACCTTGGATGGCGACCTTGCCGAAGACCTGCAGCCCCTGCAGGGTGGAGCAGTTCCACCGGCGAGAGTGAAACTGGTGCTGGCACTCCTCGACAGCCAGCTCCGCACCTCGCTTCACCGCATCCATGGCTTCCACCTGCCGCTGGCAAATGCGGACCTGCTCTTCTACCAATCCCGTCAGACCCTCACAGCCACTGGGGTCCCGGAGAACTGCCCGCAGAGAAGGCTGCTTAGCCAGGTACCTGTGGGGCAGGGAAGATACATTCAGTCGCAGATGGGCTAAAGCCAAGGCCATATCTCTGCAGGACTAGCCCTCTATAGCCTTATTTTAGAGCTGAAATGGGGCAGGGAAGGGGATGTGCTGCCTCTTGTCTGTGCCAAGTTGGACAAATCCTGGTCTGCGCCTGTTCAGCTTCTCCATCCCTCTCCCTTCCTGCTCCCAGAAACACCCCTCCTAATGTGCTGCCTTTGAGCTGCCCAGGTTCCTTCTTCCGACCTTTTCTCGCAGATCCATCTGTTTTCTTGGGAGACAGCACCTCCCCAGGGGGACTTTCCTATCCAGACAACACAAGTGCAAAGCGTACTTACAGCCAGGTCACAGCAAGGACATGGTGCACAGGGATCAGCACCACGTACAGCCACACCATCTCCATCCTGTCCCCGGCAAAACTTCACCTTCAGCCACGGTGCAGTAGCCGCCTGAATTCCCTCCTGCGACCTCCCGCTGCCTGTGCCCGACAGTCGCTCTCACAGCAGCTCCAGCCCAGCACTGCAAAGCACAGGTAGACCCTGCCCTGGGCAATGACCATGGGCTGCCCTGGTGTGCCTGCCAGCATCGGAGACCCGGTGGCCCACAGAAGCCTGGCAGGCTGGCCCTGTGAGGGCATCCACACCAGTGCTGTTCCCTACCTACAGTGTGGGCAGCAGCATGGGAGAGCTCTGAACTAGGGCTCTGGGGTGGGCATCCGTCGGAGGGAACTCACATGGCCCGGGACAGCATCAGTGTCAGACCCTCGGTCTCTGCCATCCCATCAGCAGACAATCTGGTTGTCTTCCTCTGCAGTCAAGTCACTTCATCAGCAAGAAGCGGCCCAAGACCCAGTCAGCAGCAGACAGAGCCTTCCACGCAAGAAAAACCTGGCAGCACCAAACAGCTGTCGCTAGACCCACCAGCTCATCATCGCTTTGTCACCAAGCCCTTTGGGGAGCCAGAGAGTTTCCTTGCAGTGACAGCTCATGGGAGCAGAGAGGGGAAGACCTGCTGCCTCTCTGATCCCCAGCTGCCGTCCTTGAGGACCCTCCCTCATGTGCCTCTTCCAGGCTGGACATTCTTCTTTACTACCCTGCAGCCCACATAGCTACAGCAAACAGACACAGCCCGGCTGCTCCCTGGTTCTCTTAACTCTTT